TTTGTGGCTGATCTGATAGACATGAAATACTTTCTATCTGCTGCTTTGACATAACCATGACTGGCCCAGGACAGTGGGTCTCAGGTCAGTTCAGAAACTCACCAGACACCTGTGCACATGCCCAAGATCCTGAAGAGCTGAAGGCTGGACAAAGAGGATGGTAGTATGACAAGAACCTTTCGAGGGTGCTTCTCCCTTTCACATGGAATCTCAGGTCATATGAAATTGACAAATTTTAGCACAGTAAAAATAACCTTATCTTTAATGGTTAATACTTTGGATCGTATTTAAAATATTCTTACAATATATCAAAACATATTTTCTTCTAAAAGTTTAAAGTTTTCATTTTCTAATCTAATTAATTCAATTTATGTGTATGTATAAGTTAGGAACCCAATTTTTTTTTTTCAATTTCAATATGGCTAAAAAAACATTGATTACCAAATGGTCCATTCTTTTACCAATGACTTATTTTACCATGTCTGTCACATTTGTAGGGGGTTCCTACAAATAAATTTCTGGAACTTATTCATCTATTCCTATTCTCGTTACATTAGCTTTACACCAGAGTAAATGAAATCTCCCCACTTCATTTTTCCTCTTGGGTAATCCTGATCTTTTACCGCCCCATATACATTTTAGGATCTTCTACCATCTTCCCAAGTTCTTCAGCCAACATTTGAATTTTGTTTCAAATTATATTCAATTAACAACTATATTTGACAGCTTCAGGCTATTTAGGTCTACTCATTCATTTATTTAGATGTTCTTCATTTATTTAAATGTTCTTTTTGAAGGTCCTTTTTTTCTAAGTTTATTTTTTCCATGTGACAGAGAAAAAAGGTCACCCCCAATATGATATTCACAATGCAATCCACCACCACCCCCGCCCTGCCTCAACCAGCATCTCAGGTATGCATGGGCACAACTGCATACACAGGAGACCTCAGGATGCAGGCCTGGGGCCTTCCTTTATGATCTCAGCATACAGGGCACTGCATTACCACAGCACCACTATGGCTGGCCTAGAGATTCTTTAATAACATTTTATAACTTTTTCCATAAAGTCTTACATATCTTTTATTAGATTTATTCCTCAGTAATGTAATTTTGTTGCTTTTATAACTAAGATCTTTTCTTTTTTATTTTTTGTTTTTTTTCGAGAGAGGTTTTTGCTATAGGGCATGTGCACTCGCCAGAAAGACAGAGAGAGACAGAGAGACAGAAAGCAAGAAATCACCCCCCAGGAGGGATGGTCACACCACAGTCCCTTCTCCATTTTCCTCTCGGGATCTTGGGCAAGCATGCACACGTGCCCAGCCTGAGTTTAAGCCACTGGGTCCAGGACTCAAACCGCAGGTGACTACATGGGAGTCCAGCGACATAGCAATTACGCCAACTGCGGGTCCCCAAGATCTTTTCAAAATTATATTTTCTCAATACTTTTGTGAAGATACAAAAGCATGATTTTTTTAAAGTTATCTTCTACCCAGTCCATAACAAGGTAAAAAAGAAATATAACATATAGAATTTCACTTGAGTAAATCAAAATTCAAGATCTCTAGACTAGTTCTATCTCCAGGCAATTTCATTCTATTTTAGTAATGCAGATACGACAAATCTTGTTTGAATATAAAGTCCTTAATAGAAGACTTTGCCATTTAATTGTTAAAATATAATACTAAGGGGGACCAGCAGATGATGGTTACATTACTGGATTCCCATAGAGTTGATCACAGTTCAAGTCCCAGAACCGGCAGCTTAAAATTCACAACAGGAACGTGTGCATGTGTATGCTCAAAATCCTAAGAGGAGAATGGAGAAGGGATTGCACCATCGCCACCTCCCCTGGGGGATGATTTCTTGCGTTCTGTCGCTCTCTGTCGCTCTGGTGAGCACACATACCCTATAGCAAAAATCTCTCTCAAAAAAAATTTATACATACATACATACATACATAAAATACTAAGATACTATCTTTTCTTTGAAGTACTAATTGTTCAGTTCCTATGGCAGGGGGCCAGCAGGTGGCATGGTTGGGGGCAATGAATTCCCACATGGCTGACTGTGGTTCTAGTCCCGGACCTGGAGGAGGCTTGCTTTCTCACTTTCTTTCTCTCTCTCTCTCTACTCCTCTCTGGTCAAAATAAAATAAATAAATAAATAAATAAATAAAGTTAATTAAAAAAAACAAAACTCAAAGACAGTCCCTATAGCAGATCACCTATCCACTTTGATTTAAAGTGTTTAATGGAATTGGATTAGCTTTTCAATGCACTGTGTTCTCTACACTTCTATTTAGTAAAAGCTGTTACTAAAGGAGCTTATGAAACATGGTGGCTCACAGCAATAAACAATGAGGCTATGTGGAGAACTTGAAGCCTAGAGGTTAACCAACTTCAAATAATCTGTGAATAATCATGTTCAAAATTATGGTTCCAAACCCCTCATCCCACACATACAGCCAAACCAAAGTTGGTCAAAAGGTAATGCACAGCTGCCTGTAGTTGGCTTCACCTATAATTAACTAAAAAGTTGCCATTTTATGGTGGCTAAAGGTATAAATACTAAAAGCAAAAGATCATCAATTAACAAAACTCAGAGAACAAATCAAATTTATTACTCAAAATAACTTTTTCCGATTATTTAAAAAACTAACTCTCAGTTATTAAAAAATCAATACTGAAATGGATTATTTCCACTCCCACAAACCTACAAAAGATAGTCCATATTAAAAAAATCTCACTTAGCATTTGTCAAAGCCTAGACAAAAAATCATGTGAGAGCAGGCTCAGCAATGTGCTGGACAGGTGTACGACTGACCCGAGACAGGTCAGGCAATTTCTAGCCGTATGCCTTTAAACACATGATTTAATTCGCCTCCTCTGAATGTCACATTGCTCATTTGTCAAATGGGAATTATCATAAATGTCTCACAGGACCGCTGAGAAAACTAAAAGTGATGAATTATGTACAAATACTTATCATAGTAACAGGCTAGATATTTTTTCAATCAGTCTGTATTTTTAAAATGATACCAACATTTAATGTAACATTATTCATCCACCACAACCCGCAATGAAAGAAGACAATTCAAGTAAAGATGTACAATTAAAAATGAGGAATAGGGTAGCGGGCAGCCTAAACACATTACTTTTTGAATTTCCAGAGATTTTTGCTATAGAGTGTGTATACTTGCCAGAGAGACAGAAGCGAGAAATCACCCCCCACTCCCCCAAGAGGATGGCCATGCTGCAATCCCTTCTCCTTCGCTCCTCTTTTGGGATTTTGGGCATGCATGCACACACGCCCTGAATGAATTTTAAGCCGCTGGGTCTGGGATTCAAACCATGGTCGACTACATGAAGGTCCAGCAATGTAACCATTATGCCATCTGCTAGTCCCCACATTACTTTTTTTTAGAGAGAGACTTTTGCTATAGGACGTGTGCACTTGCCAGGAAAACAGAGAGAGATGGAAAGACAAAAAGTGAGAAATCACGCCCCTGGGGGGATGGCCATGCTGCAATCCCTTCTCCTCCATTCTCCTCTCAGAATTTTGGGCATGCACGCACACGCGCCCGATGTGAGTTTAATGGCCAGATCCAGGACCTTAACCACGGATAGTCATGTGGGAGTCCAGCGACACAATCACTATGCTATCTGCTGATCCCAATACATTACTTTTTTCTCTCTAACTATTTAGGCACTCTACTAGGGAAAAGACAGTTAACATTTGTGGCCCCAAACCATATTTAACTTAACAGCTGCTTACTCAACTGGAAAAAATTCTCTGAGAGCCCTGCTAAGTTTTGAAAGATGCTGAATAAGGCACTAACAAGGACATACAGAAACATGACTAGAGCATAGAATGGATGTATAAATTCAACAGATTCCATTTGTAACTGAGTGCCAAGGCATTAATAGCTCCATAATTCAGGACACTTCTGTGTCTAACATTAGATGATGGCACAACACACATAAAAGAAGTCTATTCCAGACGAACCTGCATATACAATCATCTCACCCACACTGTCTTCTCCAAATAAGACATGTGCAAGATGATAGTTTGCGTCCAAAGGGAAATAAAAGTACTCTGTTACTACAGGATTTTTTTTTTCTTCTTTTTGTTAAAAAAAAAAAAAAGTCAGCACACCTAGTGCATGGTGATCTTTGTTTCTAATACCATTCTCCAAAAAAGGAACCAAGTCTTCTTGGAAAAATGAATAATGATTCTAGAACTGGGGCAGGAATATACATGATGAGCCTGGAGCTTTTTGTTTGGTTTTGTTTTTGTATACTGTTTTTTAAACAGTTTTTGTATAGGGCACTTGCAAGAGAGAGACAATGAGAGGGAAAGTGAGAAAACATCCACGCTGCAATCCCTTCCTCTCCATTCTTCTCTTGGGATTTTGAGCATGCACACACATGTGGCCAGTGTGATTTTCAATCTGTAAGATCCAGGACTTGAACCACAGTTGGCCATATGGGAGTCTAGCACCTGAACTATCAATCACCTGTTGCCCCAAGCCTGGAGCATCTCGTAGTGCCAGAAAAAAAAAAAAAAAAAAGTGCTAAAAAAGAAAACCCACAATAATGGGAGTACATCAAAGGACTCAAAATCTAATGAAAAAATTCCCAAATTGGAGTTGGAACAATTTGAGTGAAAAAACAATGTTGTATTATAACAACAACAAAAAAAAAACCATAAAATAAATATACACAGGGACCAGCAGGTGGTGTGGTGATAAAAGTACAAGACACTTCCACATGGCTGACCACCTTGAACCTGGTAGCTTGCTTTCTCACTTTTCTTCTCTCTCTCTGTATGTCTCTCTCTGGTCAAATTAAAAATAAATGAATGAATAAATAATTCTTTAATAAATAAATAAATATCCATAATGAAATAAAAAAGACTGAATAAATAAATCAATAAATATCCATAATAAAATAAAAAAAGACTGAATAAATAAATCAATAAATGGGAGCAAAGAAACAAACCTCAAGTACAAAAGAATTTCAAATAAGGTAGGTAGATGTTCCATCCTCACTTCCAGTAAGTGTGGACTGTGTGTAGCAATTGCATTCCAAAGAGTACCTTATAGGGAGAAAGAGGAATGGCAGTACTTACAATGAAAAGAAAATGAATACTACTTCGACCAAGTGATGGACATTAGCATCGACAGTGACAAGTCATGTTGATCCCTATACCCTTAACATAATATGATGAAAGTGTCACTTCATCTATGAGGTCTTTCTTTCCAAACCACATAACCCCTGTTTAATAATGGTTAAACATCAGATATTCTACAAAATACTTGACCAGTACTTTTCAAAGCTGAGAGTCATTAAGAAACAAGGAGAACCCTAAGAAACTATAATAGAAGACTAAATGTAATATGGTATCCCGGACGGGATCTTGGAACAAAAAGGACAGTAGGTAAAAGCTAAGACAATCTGAATAAAGTATAAACTTAAGTTAGTAATAATGTAACAATATTGGTTCATTAAGTGTAACAAATGAACCATATTAATGAAGGACATTAATATGCAAGAAAGTGAATGTGAATGTGAAGTATCTGGAAACTCTGTGCTATCTTTGCAATTTTTCTCACACTCTAAAGTTGTTCTAAAATAAAAAGGTAGATCTAATAAAAACGCAGATATGTTATTTATACACATACATACACACACAGATAAAATTAACATTATAGCCTTCATTTTATCCACATGTAAGCCGGTCACACATTATTTAGGATCTATAGGATGTCCAGAGCAATGAAGGTTCTACATGCAGAGAGGGTGACAGTGGAGGCCTCCACCACCCATTATCTTTCAGCATCCCATGATGCTCCAGTTCACATGTGTGTCCAGTTAATTTAGGTAAACTAACCCTCACGAGAATACACAAAAGGTTTAAAATATCTCAGACAAGAAAAGGCAAGTAGACTATAGCGTAAATAACGTAAACATAGATAAGTAGCAAAAGCGACATTTCTTCATTCCTAGTATGAGTTCCATAACAGTCACAATATAAAGGTTAGAAACAATGATGTTTTCAACTTATTACTGACAGTCGTAAGCTAAAATACTTCAAAATTATAAAGAAGCCTAAGACTCTTAGTGGATTTACATTAACATGATAAGTAAGCAAAAGGTTAGATATGTATGTAAAGTATATTTTTGGAAGGTAATAAGGAGAAGCACTAATGGATTTATATTCACTATTGTTAGCCATGAACCTGCCCTAAACGTATGTTATGCCTCAAGATAATGGCTAACAATATTATAGTCTTCATAATTACACAACCATCTCCAAATGATGAAAGTAAGTTTTTATCATATGTAGTGATATTTAAAATCATGCTATATCCAATCTAGTGTTTTATGAAATTACACAAGAGAAAAACATGTAAAAACCTTTATAGAGGTTTTTACTGTCTTCCTATATTTGTTGAACTCAGTTTTGAAAATAGACAAAAAAGATATATTCTCAATACATGGTCAACAGCAAATGACTTCACTAGTACAAATGATGTTTTAGTTAGAATTGTGTAAGTGTGGGGTCAGCCGGTGGTGTGGTGGTTGAGGGCACTGGACACCTACATGGCCAATCATGGTTTGAGTCCTGAACTTGGCGGCTTGCTTTCTCACTTTCCCGCTCTCTTTCACTTTGTCCCTCTCTGGTCAAAATAAAATAAATACATAAATTAATTAATAAAGTTAAATAAAATAATTCTTTATACAATTTTTAAAAGAATTGTGTAAGTGTAGCTCTGGAACAAGTGGTCACATGACTGGGCTACATGAATTCTGAAGTACTCTCTGCCATATGAGGATACAAGGAGAAAATGCAGTGCAAACCAGGAAGTGTAGCCTCCTCCAGGTACCAGATCTACCAATACCTTAATCTCAAATTTCCAAACTTCCAGAATTATGAGAAATAAATGTTTATTGTTTTTTTAAAAAAAAGTATAGAGAAAAAAAAAACAACAAAGGTTCTGAAAATCAAGGGTTAGTGTCACCTAGGAAATTCATCTTCACCATTCATAGGCAAGTGGTAGAAAGCTGATGAACGCATACATGTACTAAGTGCTACGGGATATCACTGATATGGCTAATTTAGCAACAAGACCTTCAGTAAGTAGAAAATTACTTCTACACAGCACTGAGATGTGCACATCTTCCACACAGTGTTGAATTGACTTAGTTCCCACCCTACACTGAACGGACAAGAATCTGGCAAAAGAATTTATTAGCTATGCAAACTACTAAATCTGTGAGAGCGATTATCACTTTTAGACTGGTGACAGAACTGGTGAGAGCATTACAAAACATCCACATATAGCACTTAAAACAATCTGGGCACACAGTAAGTTCTCAGCAAATGTTAGCTATTACTGGCATTACGAGAGTAATCATGAAAATCTTTTATACCACAAAGAAACTGATGAATTATCTTTTGGCAAAGTACCTAAAAGTGATCAACCATAGAAATAAATTATACATTCTTTTACAAATAAGTTAGCAATCCAAATTTGCTAGCCTGTTCTGGGACATTTTCTAGAGTGTGGCCATTTGAAAATGCTCTATAAATATCTCCTGCTTAAACAGTTAAAGTTTATATTGATGGTGCTGGCCACAAATACCTAACAAAAGGTATTTCATCAAAACTTTAATATATCAATAGTGTACATACCCTCAGATCAGGAGAAAAGTTGTCTGCAGAAGTTGAAATGGAATCTGATGATACAACCGAAGCTGACTTGGTATGCACTGAATTCTCTGAATGAGAAGTGGAGGCACTATAAAACACAAAATATGAATGTTTGAAAAATGGGGCCGTAAAAAACAATTTCAGATATTTTACTTATTATAACTCTATTATTCACTAAAACTTCTATGCCCACTAGTTCTGCTCTACTAGTACTACTCAATTTTACCTTCAAATACTGATGTTACAAATTCTATTTCTTCGAGGTTAAGCATCCTCATCAACCAAGTTTCCTCTAGACAGACCTTCCCACTAATCACTGAAATACTCTGGGCTAATTCCTTTTTTTAATCCATCCATCATCATTCATTCATCCAAAGCACACTGAGTAGTCCAATATGAAAAACCAGGCACTATACTTTGGAGATAAATATGATGTCTTCCTATTCCTGAAACTCACAAGCTTGTAGCAGAGACAATGTACGCAGTGTGATAATGAATCTAAATACACACACACACACACACACACACACACACACACACACACACACACAGAGCTATGGAAGAAAAGTAAGCAGCTAACTATGACCAAAAAGTTTGAAAAAGACTTTACAGTCTTTGAACTGAATATTTGAACTGAATCTTGAAAGATAGGAAATTACCAGGCAACTAAGGTAAATCCAAAAACAAAAGACACTGCGAAGGTACAGAAGTCCCCAAACACAAAGAACACTTTGAAAAACTATAAACAGGGCAACAGAGCTGGACCTCGAAAAGGAGAGGAGAGGAGTATACAAAGACGGGCTTGTCTTTGTACCTTCTGGTTTTCCGCAACATCAGATTCTACACTTTTAACAAGACTGATATTTACTTCTTCCATTATACTAAGTAACCACAGTGACTTTTATTTTCTCAAATTCCTATACAACTTCTGATACCTGACCACATACTATCTTTTATTGTTTACAGATTTCAAGTATGTACATTTTGTTTTACCAACTAAATTTTAAGTGCTTGAAGAACAAGGTCCCCCCTCAACCCGTCCCAACACACACAAAATCTACTTTGGTGCCTGAGTATATTACAACATGTATTATTGTCTGTTAAAAGTTTAAAACATAGTGACAAAAGGGCCAACACTATAGCCTACCGATAAAGGAATTGGATTCCACAAAGTTGCCATGGTTTCAATTCCAGCCTGACGACTTGAAAAACATACCAGGTGCATATATGTGCATGCCCCAAATCCTGACAGGAGGAAAAAATGGAGGAAGAGGCTGTGAGGCATGACCACACACCAAATCTTTCTTGCCTTCTCTCTCCTTCTCTCAGGCAAGCACAAGTGTCCTCCGTCAATTAAAAAACAAACAAACAAACAAAACTCAACACAGCTTGCAATTAGAGGTAGTATATTATCTGAAAAAATAACATTGACAGTGAGAATATTATAGCATGTGGCACCAAGAAACTAAATGGCTCTTTGGAGTACGAAGTAAATAAATCTGAGAGAAATAAACTAAACAAAACTAGGTACTGCAATTAATACTTCACAGTCTGATTCAAAGAATGAGTCTTTCAAGCAAAATTGTGGTAAACAGGCCCAACCGCAGTGGCGCAAGCAGAGGGGCCTGCTGTAGGAGGCGGGGCCTCATGGGACGCCTGTGTTTGGTTTCTGGACCAACCTGAACAGGCTGGGTGCAGCGGTGTGCCCACGGTCCTAGCTTGCTGGGAGGCTAGGGCAGAGGACCACGACATGGAAAGATCCTGTCAAAAATATCTCTCTTTCTTCCCTCCTTCCCACTCTGCCTGCAATTCCCCACATAGCCCCCAACCACAAATTCAAAATTTTTAAAAGCTTAGTAGTAACCTTTATTAACTTCTTTTCAGATACGCATACTCATGTGTGTAGACAGTATGATCCGCATTACATTTTAATAAGCAGTAATGTGTATTTCAATATAACCAGTCTACAAAATGTTTTAACCTGCAGACAATTAGGAGCTACAAAGGTACAGTGATAGGAATATAGCATAATACTGTTCCTGTGATTATGTCAGAAACAAACACACACCAGAACTGTTCAAAATGCTCCTGGTTGGGACCAGCAGTTAGCGTAATGGCTATGTCGCTGCACGCCCACGTAGTCAACCACCGTTCAAGTCCTGGACCCGGTGGCTTAAACTCATGCCGGGCACATGTGCATGTGTGCCCAAGTTCCCGACAGGAGAATGGAGGAGAAGGGATTGAGGCATGGCCATCCCCCCTGGGGGGGTGATTTCTTGCTTCCTGTCTCTCTGGAGAGCGCACGTACCCTGTAGCAAAAACTCTCAAAAAAAAAAAAAAAAATGCTCCTGGTATAAACATGAAGTGGTTGTAGTAAGTGGCTACTCGGACTGAAGGTGGCCACAAACACGTTAGAATGCAAAGCTCTAATTTCAGTATTTAGTCTTGTCTTCTGTCTCACTGGCTGTATGCATGTTTCTAATCACCATGGCTACTGGTGTAACACACTAATTTCCTCTGCTTTATTCCATTTTTCCCTTGCTCCTCTTCAGGTCAATCACTCTCTGTTTACCTTTTATGAAATATTCTACAAACAAGGCTTGTATTTGCTGAAATTCATGTCTTTGCTCATGCCATTCCAAAGCAGAGTGCTCCTCTACCCCATTCGATTTATTAGCATCTTACCTTCTCTTTAAGACCCAGTTTAAAAATCTAGCTCTAAGAAGTCTTCCCCAGGTTTTCTACCAAAACTAAACTCTCGGCCTCCCACAATTTCATAGAATTTTGCCTAGATTATACTTAACACTTTCCACATTGGACCAGAGCACTTTAGTTACATGGCTACCTCCTTTTTAAATTATAAAGTGCTGAAGAATAAGAATCTTGTTACTGGCAATTATCTAGACTTGGAGCAAAGAGGCAGTCTGCTAACCTCATTAAGTAACTAATACCACTTCAGTCTTCAGATTTCCCGGCCTACAACCTTTACTAGTCTATTCAAACATTCCTGTTATCCTTGTCATCCTGAGCCTCCCTTCAAAATGCCAGACCGTCCAGTCAACTCTGTCAAATATGTTCATTACCATATTACTATGTGTTTCTTCTACCCACTTTCTCTTTCCAAGTCATTCTTCAACCACTAAATTTCCTACCAATCTGTATCTTGAAAACTTAATTCCACATTGAATAAACCCTCTTATACCTTCAATAGAATTCTCCCTTCCAACTCTGCATCAACTGACATCTTCCAGGAATCCACTTCCCTGCAGCCTTCAATAGAAGAATCCTTTTCCCACTTCTAACAAACCCAGCTCAACAGCTCAACTCATGCTTCTACACTGGTCTTACTCTTGTATCTTCATATTTCATATATAAAAGTGTCTTCCTCTGAGGTTCATGGCTTTTTGGTATACAACCTCCTTGGTACTATCATCTACCTTTCAATCTTACCCCTCATTCAGTAATGGTGTTATTATCTGGCTTATTTTTTTTCTCCAATATTTCCTTCCACTCCAAAGCTGCCATAACCATGGGCATTTATAACCCATAGATTGAAACTATTAACAACTTAGCTCAGAATTCCTCAATCCCTACATCCCTATCCACAGTCACAATTTAGCAATCTGCATCGGTAGACACACCCAAGACTATCATTTCTGGAAAGTACTCTGCATTTGATATAATCTGAAAATCAAGGGAATCAATCTCTGATCACAGATGCATATCCTTTGAAAGTATCTTGCTTTCTTAACTTTTCTTTCACTTAATCTTCAACCTAATGGAGATAACCAGTCCCTCAGACCCTCCAGCTCTCCTTTGCCTATTTCCCTTCCCTTTCCATCAAATCGGAATGTGGAGTGTAAGACTTTATATACTCTCTGGCAAATTTTGTGTCCTTATGTTCTCATCCACTGGCCAAAACTGCCCCACTAACCCCTGAATTTAATATAACTATCTACGTTCTCCAGTACTAAACCTTGGCTACTAGTGAAGAAATCTTCAAATCTGAAGCTTCTTAAGACATGGATAGAAACACTGGTAGGGCTGCACTCAGTGACATTCTCATTTCTCTAGATTTAAAAAAAAAAAAAAAAAAGAACCAAAAAACTATAACCATATTTTGTCCAAGGACATCAAATCTAATGAGTCCAAAATTCTGCAAAGTCTACTTCCTGCTGTCTCTTGGGCACCAAAGTGAACTTTCAAAAACACAGATCTAATTGTATTGCTCCCCTGCTTAAATCTTCCCTGTTTTCTTATTGCCTAAAAAAATCAAGCCCAAATGTCTTAGCATACCACTTCTAGTTTTCTAGGATCTGGCGCTTATTCTACCTATTCAGCTATAGGTCTTACTCATCAAGGATCACTGGGAAAGACTTGCAGACTCCTTAAGAAAAATGAGCATTATTCCCACTATGGAAACATGTCTTACTCATATACGTTAGTACTGTTTAATAATGAACAGGACAGAATATAAAGTTACCGAAAGAGTTTCTCTTAAATTTGGAAGTCAAAAATTCCCAATTTGAAATTGAAGACTTCAAAAAATTTGTTTTCTATTTAAAGAAAGCTCTATAAGAATAAGAAGGTCTCACTGGAAATAGGGATAGGATTATGACATTAATGATAATGAGCACAGTAGTATGCACTGATAGTCCCCAGCTATTTGAGCAGCTGAGGAAGGAAGATTCCAAGTCCGAAGCCAGCGTGGGTAATATTGCAAGACCCTGTCTGATAAAAAAGTTTTTGAAGAGTCCCCAGTTATTTGAGCAGCTGAGGAAGGAAGACTCCAAGTTCGAAGCCAGCGTGGGTAATATAGCAAGACCCTGTCTGATAAAAAAGTTTTTGAACAGAAAAACAACCACCTTTCTCTAAAAAAACACTAAATGCTCAGTTTGCCTATAATTATTTTCTACATAATCACATTTCCCAATACTGTTTACTTCAACTTGACAGACACTCCAGTTGCCTAAGATAATTTTCATGAAGAAACAGTTCACACTTTCCTTTCTTATATTCCTCCTTTGACATTGAATTCGATGCACCTTTCCCAATTTCATGTCTAACTTTTCCTTCTCTGGTTCAATA